AATTTTGAGGTGGGATTACTGGTTGAACTATCTGCTGTTCACATTTCCCAATACTTCTAGGAGAAAGAGCTATTCCTTCTTCTCGGCTTTTACATTACTTTTACTATTGGAAACGACTTTATGTCCACCCCCATCCAGAACACTTTGGTGGAGGGGCATGAAGGGGTGTTTTGTTTCTGAGCAGTGCCCTCTACCCCAGCCACAGCCCCAGCCGCATGCAGGCTCTTCGCCTGTTAGAACTTAAACTAGAACGTGCTGAGGGAGACGCCATCTCCGCCCACCGTCCCACTCGCATCTGATGTGAGAGAAGATTGTAGGCGGCTGCTGAGAGTGTGCTCCACTCTGCTAGATGTTTTAAAAAGTGAACATTGCCTTTTTTCTTTTTCCTGGAATAGTTTGTCTTCTATCATGCCAGGAAGCGGGGGTTCAGCCAGTGGATGATTGGGTGAAGTGGTGGTAGTGGGGACACAGAGACCAATTATAGCATCAACAAGCGTGGACTCTTTCATCAGAATTCACTTTTCATCAAGTACTGGGAATGGACGGTGGGAAAACAATTCTCTGGAGGAACATCATCAGCTTGAAGACCCTTCCAATTTCCTGGGTAGGAGGAGTGGGGGGTTGACTGGGTTCCACTCCCTGACATCACACATGGATCTCTGTAAAGGTTTTTGAACCCAGTGCTACTGTCAGGTTCCCCAAAGAGTCAGTGACCCAGAACAACTGAGGAGGCTTGTGCTGTCGGCAACAGCTGATTCTCTCAGCTTACCCATTTCTACCTGAGCTCAGGTCCAAGTTCAATGGGAAGCCGGAGAAGGGTGTAGTAGGAAAACTCTCTTGTAGGCACCTACTAGAACTGCCGTCTGAAGTTTGACACTAATACAAAGCATCAGTAAGAATGTTCATCTGATGTACACCCAGACATCCTAAAGGGCTCTGGAGGCTGCTTTTTAATCAGAGAGGGAGGATTCCATCCCAGTTTACACCTCCTAATGTTATACCACAGATACAGTTCTGAAAGGTGGTATATGTGTTGACATATATACAATCTGAGCTTCAATGGAAATTTGACTCTGACCCTCAAAATACCTCTGGTCCCCTCATTACATAACATTTCGTTCAAAAACATCTGATAAACATCTTTCCACTTCTTAAACGGAATATATAAAAAGGAGAGTTACTAAGATTGTTTCCCTAAACCCCCGCGTCCTCCAATGTGACTCATCCACTGAAGACCATCCCCCCACACACCCCAGACACTTTCCACTGTACCCTGTGCAGACTCTCAGCAGCCGACAGTACCAATGCCAGTTGAGAAACTATCACCCTCCTGGCTACCACCAGTTAAAAACACAAAGAAAAGAGCCCGTTTGAGAAGCCCACAAGGCCATTTATCTATCAGAATAATTAATTAGAATTTGATACTTATTCTGACATTGTTGCCTTTGTGACAAATGTCTTCCTATGCATGGCTCCACGCACCATTCCATTCTACTGAACTCACCTCCACAGAGTCTGCCTATAGGGTGGGAGGAAATGAACCTTAGTGGCACCCTCTCCTCGGGGGTCCACCACACATTCTGTCTCGGTGAATCTGGCTATACGAAACACCCATTCTCATGATCCACCCCCAACCACTCCCCATCAGCTTCTAGGATTCTCCCAACTTCTAGAATCGTTACCAATATTATGTGGCAATGTCTGGAGAGCAGTCTGCTAAGGCTTTGGAACTCTCTGCCAAACTTCAGGAAAATCGTCAGGTAAATCAGAGTTAAGTCTGACCCTATGCGCGGCCCTATCGGTGGTCACGAGGTTTGTTCTTTTCCTTAAAGTCTCTACACTGTCGCAAAACCTGAGTATTAAAAAATGGCCAGAAAAAGCGACTTCCTGCATCTTACAAGTAGAAAAGTTGCTTTACTCAGTATCTGATACTTACATGATGAGGAGCCAAGGTCATCTATTCAAGACAAAAGCAACCCCTGTGACTCATACTGCAAACAATTCTTTCATTCAAAGGAATTCGGGCTAATCTACAGCCACAATGCTCCTTAGCACCAAGGATGCCGAGACTTTGTCTCACGTACTTCGGACATACGTTCTGGAGGCACCAGTACTTAGGAAAGAACATCATGTTTGGAAAAGTAGAGGGTCAGCAAGAAAAGGGAAGATTCCCAAGGAAATGCACAGACACAGTGGCTGCAACGATGGGTTCAAACACAGGGAGGTTGTGAGAATGGCCCTGGACAGGAAAGTGTTTCTTTCTGTTCTGCTATGAGGCTGCTATGAGGAACTCATGCAATGACTCCTGTGGCGATTACATCATATCCTGTCAACCTGAGTGAAGGGAGAGAGTCTAGCTTGTCAACCACATCATAGGCACTCATGCCTCTGTATGGGCATGGCTTCCTCCGGAGGATTCTGGGAACTCCTGTCTTCCTCCCTGGAGGTGGGACACACACTCTCTCTGCTTTACATTCTGATGACAAGCCAGATAGAGCTACACTGATGCAGCCAGAG